GAAATAAATTTTTTAATCGGTTCAAATTTCAATTGGTTCTTACAAACTTCATAGTCATCGTTGATATCTACAATGAGATCACATTGGGTGGTTCTGGCACTTTTGACGGTTATTATAATTTGGAATGATCAAGAATGTTCTAGAAAGTGGTCAAAGTCGGTTTTGTCATACCGCAGAGACTTCGGGGTCGCTTCTTTGTTCATTCCTCCGTTTGACTTTTATATCCACGTTCTCCACGACGCCCCAAAGGACAAAACCAAAATTCATCCTCCATCACACAAGTTATTAGTTTTGTCAAATCAAGCCACGCGGCTACTTTTCCTTCTTAGTTATAAATTTGAAAAAAGCACAGCGACCGCCTTAGTCTTCATGCTATATATACATCATATAGCTCCAGTACTTAGGACGTACGAGGTGACCAGGTTGCATCTCCGGAACCTGAACAACTCAGATTTTTTAATTTTTTGGTGTAATATATACTACTTCAGAAGTTAATTCAGAACTCAGATGATGATCATGGAGAACCAAAAATATGAGCGCGTCTTCAATCACTTTGATGAGAATGGAGATGGGAAGATATCGCCCTCAGAGCTGCAACAGTGCGTGGCAGCCATAGGTGGTGAGCTGTCGCTGGTGGAGGCGGAGGTGGCTGTGCAGGAGTTGGACTCCGACGGGGACGGGTTGCTGTGTATGGAGGATTTTGTGAGGATGGTGGAAGGAGGCGAGGAGGAAGAGAGGGTGAAGGATTTGAGAGAGGCTTTTAAGATGTACGAGATGGATGGGGGTGGGTGTATTACGCCGAAGAGCTTGAAGAGGATGCTTAGTAGATTAGGTGAGTCCAGGAGTTTAGATGAATGTAAGGTTATGATTGCCCAGTTTGATCTCAATGGTGATGGGGTTCTGAACTTTGATGAATTTAGAGCCATGATGTTATGATCACCCCATATATATGCTTCTTAATACTTATGTGATCAGATTTATGTAATTATATATGGTTAGTTCCTTCATTCATTCATTGCACTCACAGCATCATATCTGGGTGTGGTGACACTCCCTTTCCCCCTATTTCCCCCATGTTATGATCACCTTAAACTCTAAGGGATAAGGCCCCAAACTGTCTCCTATAACACTTTTACCTGGGATATCTTTTTACCCCATTTTGGTTTGAGATATGTGTAAGTTGCTCACACTCAACAATCAACTCTAGAATTAAATATTTATTGAGGTGGATTATGCATCAAGCCAATGAACTTGAAGAACCTCTAGGATTAATAATTAATTATGGAATTTTAACGGTTGAAGTAACTTTGTTATTAATATAAAAAGATTTCACTTTGCAATAAAAGTTGAATTTATGTTTTCTCTCTTTAACCCTTTCTCTCACGGATTTGAACTATTTGCTATATAATAATTTCGTCAGATATTGCAGGAGATGAGTTTTTTTTTAATAAAATTTTGTGATGAATTTTCTTATTGTAAAAGATAAAAAATACTACTACTAAATCCGAGTGCCCAAGCTATAATCATTATTCATTTTTTAATCAAAACTTTTTCTAAAGCCCACTTCTTTTACATTAAAACCAATCTATTAAAGACATTTTAGTTAATACTCCATCACTCCTTTATTCACTAAAAAAACCCAACCTACTAAATATTTTAATTAAAAAGAATGATAAATTAAGTGAAAATTGAAAATTCTAAACACCTAACTTTTTTCTTTTAGATTTGCAATTTTTTTTAATCATTTTAACAAGTTTGAATATTTTAATTTTTCTTTTTAAGAATTTTATCTATTTTTAGGCCAAAACCCTTTATGTCTTATTATTATAATTATTATTATTATTATTTTATTTCAAAAGAAAAGGTCTATCCGAGAGTTGGTATATCTATCAAATTCGCTCAAACCTTTGAGTTGGGCCCGAACCCAGCTCACTTGGCTCATTAGCTTGGTCAATCAATCATTAAGAAATGACCACTTGGGTTGGGCTCAAGACTGACCCAGGTTCAGCCCACTCACTAATAGTAGGCTTAATGACCAACCGACACCGTGGAGGAGGAGTTAGCTGGGCTGAGCCCATGTCCGAACTGATCCCAGGCTCATGTCCAAAATTAAAATATATGTAAGTTGTTTCTTCTGTTGTAGAGTGTTTTCGACGTGTATATTTTAAAATTGATTGTGTTTAATTTAATTAAAGATAAATTATTCATATTGGAATTAAAAATTTTATGAAAAATTATTTTTTCATTAATCTTCTTAAAAAATCAAATCTTAATTGATAAAATAAAATAAAAAACCTTTTTTATTAATTAAATCATGACCCTTAACTAAAATATGTGTAAGTAAATTTGAACTCAACAATCAACCTCTTAGACTAAATACTCTATTTAGCTTAGATTATACGTAACGGCTGAAAAAAAATGGTAGATTATGCATCAAGTCAATGAACTCTAAGAAATTCTAGGATTAATCATTAACTGTAAATAGTAATTAAGGATGAGTCAGATGACAATCTCTTCAGATCCTGTGGGAGATGGGGTACTGTTTTAGTGAAATTCTGTGGAGAATTTTTTAGTTATCGGTAAAAAAATTAAAATATAGTAAAAAATACTACGAAATTCAAGTACTCGAGCTATAATCATTGTTCATTTTTAATCAAAAGTTATTCTAAAACTTACTCCTTTTGAATTAAACTCAATCTATTATACATTTCAAGTAAGGAGTAGGGATTAATCAATTAGTTTAAGGCAAAAATTTACTTTTAACCTTTTACTTTATTAGATTTATAGGTTTTAACCCATCATCTTATACTATGATACTTTTAGTTTCTCACCTATTAAAATTAAAGAAAATAACTCTCACTTATAATATTTTGTTAGTTTTGTTAGTTAATTGTTAACTTTATTAGCTAACTGTTAGCTGATAAAAATCTACGTTCAATTGATAGAATTAACAATTAGTTAATAAAACTATTCTGTTAACTAACTGTTAACTTTATTAGCTAACTATTAACTAGTTGTTAATTGGTAAAAACTTAGTTTTAGCTGATAAAATTAATAATCAGTTAACAGAACTAACAAAATATTATGATGTGAATGTTGTTTTCTTCAATTTTAATAGGTGAGGGACGAAAAGTGTCACAGTATAAAGTAAGTAACTAAAACCTACAAATCTAGTAAGATAAAGGACCAAAAGTAAGTTTCTACCATTAGTTTAATAACCTCTTGCACTAAATTTCAACCACACATTTTTAAATTTAAGTAACCTACCAACCGGCTGTTGATCCAAATGGAAGAAGTGAAGTTTCTCTTAATTAATATCTCAAATTCAAGTCTTGTAAATGAAGAAACATGTATCGAGAGAGTTTCCCCCTTAATGGGGTCTAACACAACTTGATTCTAAATTAATCAGGATCTAATGTGGTTACTAAATATCAAGAAGTTAATACAAAAAAAAAAAAATTTAAAGAGCTATTTTAGAAATTTAAGTATTTCATTAATTATTAAAATTTTAAAATGATTGATTCAAAATTAAATTGATATGATGTGTAACTTAATTCTAACCCATTAAACAATAAAAAAAATTAAATTCAGCAAGAATTTTCAAAAAATCGAAACACCTAAACTTTTTCTTTTAGATAACAATTTTTCTTTTTGGACTCCAAGGGGTGGCTTAATGATTAAGTAATTGAAATTTCAATTAGAGATTTCAAATTTAAAATTTGAGTTGAGTGGGGAGAAATTTAAAAAGAATGGAAAGCCATATCTTTTTATACAATTCATCATTATCAGATGTATCAAAAAAATAATTTTCTTTTCATCTTTTTAACAAGTTTGAATATTTAAAATTTTCCTTATAATAATTTATCTATTTTTAGGCCTAAAGTCTTTACATCTTTTATTCTTTTCTTCTCTTTTCTTTTTTGAAAAATATCTTTCCGTTAATTAGTTTGTATATTTGTCAAATTCGCTCAAACCTTGACTTTGAGTTGGACACAAAACCCAGCCCGCTTGGCTCGTTTGCTTGGTTAATCCATAATCAGGAAATAACCACTTGGGTTGGGCTCAAGACTGACCCAGGTTCAGCCCACTCACTCATAGTCTCAGAAATGTTTTTTTTTTTTTTTTGGGAAAAAAAGAGGGACCAGAGTCCATATTACTTGGTATTTACATAATAAACCCCCAGGGGAGGCAACGGCCCCCGCACGGTGTTGCTGCGTCAAGCAAGTACTTCAAACCGCAAACGAACCACAAGCATCAATTCCGTTTCCAAAATAATAAGTCTTCCGTATTCCCAAACCCCATGCAATTTCCATAGCATGTTTAACTACCCAAAGTTCAACTAGCAAGGCGTGGCTGATTCCAATCTTTACTGAAAAGCCATGAAGCCATTGCCCTGTGTGTTCTCGGAGACCTTTCTATTCGTACTCTGGTAAAGGAAACTCTTAACCTTCCATCATGCTAACATAGACACA